TACTTAGTGTACTTAGAATACAAGTGAATTAACCGTGTAGAGTCTGCAGCCTGGATCCGAAGGGCCTGATATAATTGCACTCGGCGTACGGGAGCAACCTAGTAGCATCACCGGCAGGGGAATACTACGCTGATAGTCCCAGCGGTCTTGGCATTTATTAAAAGATGATCAAAAGAGCAGGAATTTTTCGATCCATTAGGTTGTTTATATTCCTAACCAACAGACACCACTTGTCTAACATGCATGCACCCCAATGCATACTGCTAATGGTAAGATCAATTTGGAACAAATTTTTCATGTGAAATTTTCCTTTGTTTCAGTTGGCTTATCCTCATCGGCATTCTTCCTCTGCCTTTGTCCCGAGTTTCTTGGTGCATTGATGAGCTTCTTCACGGTGGCAAAAACGCCCGAAGAATTGGAGAAAGAAGCGGATGTTGTCAATATTCCGAATATTACACAAAGTAAACGGCCTGTGGAAGCCCCAGCGCCTGCAGGTTTGTTTGAAATTTGGATTTAAAAAAAAGAGAAAGCAGGTGATTTGGGTTAGTGTTTATTTTGTCCATAATTGTTCAGAAAGTCAATGTGGGTACCCATTGTTAGTGGTGTTACTGGGGTACTCTCACTGTGCCAGGTCGTTCGATGCTGAGCTGCATTCTTCCACCGATTTGGTCCGCACATGTGTGCTTACCTCTTCAAACGCTGCCCAAGTGGTTGTTTACTCTTTCGCGGGTATCATTTATTCGATACATGACGTCTACGATTGTCAGCAAAGCCAGTAATGTGCCTTGCCCGTCGGATTTTACTTTCCTGAGTGATCACATTGACATCCTGCGCCCGGCTTTTTTGAGAAGAGTCTGATTGCTTATATGCTCACGAAGAGACAGTTCTTTAGCTTCCTTCGCTCTAATACTCTTTTAATCGCAGCAGCTGACTGTAACAGTTTTATAACATGTTTTAATCGCTATACAGCTTTTATAAAAGCTGAAGTTACGGCTGTTTCGCATTTTACTCACTTCGGATTAGCCGTTAATTCACAAACTGTCAACGATCGCAAAAATTTTTTTGTCAATTTCACCCACTTCGGCCGCCCCAGTTGCACCATCCACTTTTGATTCGGCCGTTTAATGGTCGTTACTTGTCATTTCATTTCACATAGATTGTTATAGTTAAGAAATATCGTTTCAGTACTGTACTTTCAGGTACAATGACAGTGAATTGTTTGATGCGTGAAGTGGAAATTATTTTGATCGAAGATGCAATGAATCCGGAAGATTCGCAGGCACTGATACTTTCATTCAACATCGATCTCAAAGCAAAGCCGGTACTTTTTGGTTGAATTGTTTTAAATTCTGTCGAATGTTTACTGCTGAATTACATATCACCCTCTCTTCCAGCTCCTCGTCTGATGCATTTACGTCCAGATTCTTCTTTTTCCCGGGAGATATGTTTTCTGTTAGAGCAGTAGTAATGTCTGTCATATATATGAGATAGTTTGAACGGAACTGTACATTTCAGTAAAATTAGCGTTCTTGGTTAATATGGCCACGTAAGAAAGAGAGAGAAGGGCAGGTGAAAGGTGAAGAGGGAAGCAAGAAGAAAGTAAAAGCAGGAAAGAAAGTAAAAGCAAGAAAAGCAAACGGAATAATCGTGTCTAGTCATATTTAAAAATGCTACTAGCTTACCGTCACGGACTTGTAACTGGACCAGTCTCCATTAATGTACCCGGTAATTATACCGTCGATACCCTATCCATAGCACACCATAGATTTGAGTTTAAGGATTAGCTTAGCATATCGGTGACCTTTCAGTTATTCTTTTGTCATTTAGTGGGTACTGGTCGATGATTAGTTTTGTGTTTCTGCTGCCTGTCGTCCTTGCCACATAACCGATCTAGCTTCATACGTTATGATACGGAATATTTTTTTATCAGGCAAGACATATGTTTATTTTTGAAAAGGGATATACAATACAGTATTAGTGCACTAATTTGCTGGGCTTATCAACGAGAAACCAGTACTTGAAGTACCTTTTGGCATCGACAAAATTCATCATGATTAGTTAGGGATAACGTCACTAAGCAATTCATTTTTACAGCATTTTTTGTAATAGTTGTAAATTTTCTTTTGATAGTTGTGGTTGTTGGTTGTCAGAAGTCTTTTTTTTCTGCCCTATCGATTTATTACTTTTTGTATTTGTAGGACAACGAAAAACAAGTGATTGCTGGTGGGGTTAAAAACCTGCAGATTGTTAGCGCTTATTACCTGGAATCAAAGCGCGATCAAACACCATATCAGGTTACTTTTTAATGGAATTATTGACTTACTCTTGTTCTGGAAATGTATGCAAAATTTTGTCTGTCATGTATTTTTACTGAGGTTCTGACACTTGAAGAATGTAGAACAAAAATGCGGGAGAAATACATACATGTTTAGTATTTTTTAGGTACTGAAACGGACAAATCTCGAAATTGAGCTAACAACTGATAAGAAGACGAAATCAGAACATTTTTTGGTCAGTATTGGTGAAATATATGTGAAAATCTCACCAGCTATCATACGTTTGCTAAGCGCTGTTGCTTCAAGTTACTCAGCGGCAAGCACTGTACAGGTATGTGTTTTTTACGCAATATCTGACACACAGGTGTAGTTTTCTAACGCT